TATAAGTTAAAGATGGGAAAAGAGTGGAGGAGTCGGAAAAGTGGTATGAAAACAGATGCAGGATTGGGAAAGTGCTGATTCTAGAAGCCAGAAAAAGAAAGGGCACGAGAGGGAGTATGGCAGAGTCGAGAAAGAAAGCACAGCCTAGCAGTTCCTCAGCACCAGACTTATAAACAGGAAGAATTCTCCTCATCGAGGTGAGTTAAAGGGCCCTCACTGAAACATAATACTGAATGGTAATTTTTTTAAAAAAATTCACAGAACTACAGAGAGTTGGTAAGTTGAGCATAAGAAATAATACCTTAGAGATGTGCCAGCTCCCACCACCAGCAGAGCAGAGCAGAACCTGCAGGCAAAAGAGATGTGTGGCTATAGTCTAAAAAAAAATTAAAAATAAAGAAAAATTGACATAGCCAGGTGTGGTGGTGCACATCTGTAATCCCAGTAGCTCAGGAGGCTGAGGCAGGAGGATTTAAAGTTCAAAACCAACCTCAGAAACTTAGTGAGGCCCTAAGCAACTCAGCAAGACCCTGTCTCTAAATAAAATATAAAAAAGGGTTGGGGATGTGGCTCAGTGGTTACGTGCCCCTGGGTTCAATTCCTGGTACCAAAAAGAAAGAAAGAAAAAGAAAAATTGAGCTGGAGAAACCTGTGGTTTACAGAGGAAGGCTGATTTCAATGGACACAGAGTTGGTGGTAAAAACAAATCCAAAGCAATCCACTGGGGTGAAAGGATTCCATGGGGGTAGCAAACCCTCTAGGGGCAGCGAACCTTCCATGTGCAGCTCCCCCATCAGGCAGTGCATTCTGGCAGATGAGGAAAATATTCCTAGGCACTGCTTCTGGCCCAGCTCATGGACCTAACAGAGAAGGGAAACTGGGAACTCATAAAGGAAGTTACTGGCAGGCAACAAAAATATTCCAAGAGGATGCTGGATTCAGACGCAAAGAACATTTTACCTGGATGATTCAGCCCGGGGGTCCAAAGCGAGAAAGGTCCCACAATGGCTAGCACCCCCTGCAAGCTATTGTGAAGATGCTCATTGCAGCCAGGCAAGCGTATCGCACTCCAGGGTGGATATCTGTATTACACATTTCATCAGCACTCCCCTCTCTATCCTGCCCAATATTGGGAGACTGGAAACTGAGAGCTGCTACACCCAGCTGGCAGCTAGGCAAGGAGCACAAGGACAGTGGCCAAACATACAGAGCCAAAAATCAAGACTGAAAATCTATCCCTTCCAGCAGCTTTGACCACCACAGTGGAAACAAACCCTTTATCTCTCATGAAGATTCTTTTTCTTTTTCCTTTTTCCTCTTTTCTTTTTTCTCCATCTGCCCATTTTTTTTTTACACTTTTTAAACTAACATTTTTTAAACATCATTTTATTGTATTATTCTTGCTTCTTTTTTCATTATGAATAATTTTGTGTGTATGTGAGTGTGCATGTGTGGATGTGTATGCTTTCACTGCATGGATATATTTAAATGTACACAGATTCCTACAATGTACACATTAATTACTATGCCCTGTACTTGTTCATTATTTAGCTTAGATTAGACTTAGGAGGGTACAATTATACACGGGTTCTAATTGTTTCAATCTTTCATTTGTTGGTTCGTTATACCTCAGCCTTCCTATCTGCCTTCTTCACTCTCTTTCTCAGTTAATAGCCAAAATTTCCTATTCCCTGTTCCTCTCTTTTTCTATTACTTCCAGTTAACTTATTAGTCCCTCTTCTTTGCAGAAGACTCCTATTCCCTATCTCTTGCCTCTCCTCTGATTACACTTCTAATTTTCTCTTGCTTTCCTACCTTACTTTTTCTTACTTATGAAATGTACTCCCACTAAATAATAGAAATTATATGGACTCTATAATTCCTACCCCATTCAAATTGTGACTATTACTATAGTGGACAAGATAGTAGACACCTGCTATTGAATGCCTAATCTAGTTCACAGTTTTTTATTGTTAGTACTATGGTTAAATACTAACTCCACCATTCCCATATGGGTGGTAATTAGTGTTATAGATGTCAAAGTAGATACCAGACATTTATCTTAAAGCTATACATCTGTTGCTAATATTAGTGCCATACTTGGCCCCCCTCCCTCTAATAGGGGCTAAAAAGAGATTGGGCCACTCAAGATCACTCAATCTCAACCAAGCAACAGTGAATCTCACTCCACACAAAATCTAATCCCAAATGAGCCCTGACCTTACTCTAACTCAAAGAAGTGAGGAGACAAAAGCTCCAAACCAATAACAGGGATCCAAGCAGGAACAATCAGAGAGGAGCCTCAGATCCTACCCCTTGACATCTACTCATATCAAAAACAGAGAAGTCCCAGAATAAATAATACAATTGCACACAAAAGGACATGGGTTAAAGAGGAATGGGAATCCATTTCAACTGATGCCCAAGTCCAAGACCTCTGAAAATGTGAAGAAACAGGCAAATAAATCGCCCCCCATCACAATCCCCCAATAAAGGGCCCTACTGATATTGATGTAGATGAAATCCCAGAGAAAGATTATAAAAAATTGATTATTGCCAGGCACTGTGGCTCATGCCTGTAACCCCAGAAGCTCAGGAGGCTGAGGCAGGAGGATAACAAGTTCAAAGCCAGACTCAGCAACTTAGCAAGACCCTAAGCAACTCAGCAAGACCTGTCTCTAAATATGAAAAATGGCTGAGAATATAGCTCAGTGGTTAAGCTTTCCTGGGCTCAATCCCTGGTACAAAAAAAAAAAAAATCTAACACCTGATTATTAAAATATTCAATGAACATAAGGAAGATCAAAGGAATTAAGAGAACAAATTCAGAAGATGAAAGACCACCTCAGTAAAGAAATAGAAAAAGTGAAAATAAACCAATCAGAACTCCTAGATACGGAAAACACAACCAATGAAATTAAAAATTTACTTGACAGCATCACTAACAGATTAGACTGTACAGAAAATAGAACTTTAGCCCTTAAAGACAGAACTTCAGGCATTGAAGACAGGATATATGAACTTGCACACAGAATTCAATAAACAGAAAAAAACTATAGAACATGATCAGAATATACAAGAACACTGGGACAACATCAAAAAATCAAACCTACAATCACTGGGATAGAAGAGAACATAGAGATACAAGCTAAGGCATTAAGAATATTTTCAATGAGATAGTTACAGAAAACTTTTCCCATATCAGAAATGAGATAGACATCCACATACAGGATGCTTACAGGACTCTCCAAGACACATTATAATCAAAATACTTAACATAGAAAATAAGGAAAGAATACTAAAAGCTGCAAGAGAGAAACATCAAGTCACATTTAGAGGCAAACCAACAAAGCTCACTTCTGATTTCTCAGTTCAGATCCTAAAATCAAGGAGTGCCTGTAATGAGATATTTCAAGCTCTAAAAGAAAACAACTGGTAGGCAAGATTACTATATCTAGTAAAGGTCAGTTTCAAATTCTAGGGTGAAATAAAAACTTTTCATAAGAATAAACTAAAATAATTCATGACCACTATGCCTGTACTCAAAGATAAACTGCATACAAAAGAACTAAAAAACAAATCCCAGAACCCAAATACAGAAAGATCACTAAATGAAAGTCAAGAGAGTATTGAATATAGCAAAAAAACAAAACTGCAGGAAACCACAAATACATATTCATAGTAACACTGAAAGTTAATGGTCTTGACTCTTCGATTAAAAGACACACATTAGCATAATGAATCAAAAAAAAAACTGTTTGCTGTTTTCAAAAGCCTCATAAGCAAAGACATTCATGGGCTGACAGTAAAAAGATGAGGGGAAAAAATTCCATGCATATGGACTCTGAAAACAAGCAGGAGTAGCTATTCTCATATCTGACAAAGCTGATTTCAAATAAAATTTAATCAGAAAAAGCTGGGCACAGTGGCACAGGTCTGTAATCCCAGTGGCTCAGGACACTGAGTCAGGAGGATTGGGAGTTGAAAGCCAGCCTTAGCAATAGTGAGGCACTAAGCAACTTAGTGAGAACTTATCTCTAAAAAAAAATACAAAATAGGGCTTGGGATGTGCTTCAGTGGTCAAGTGTCCCTGAGTTCAATCCAGGTACCCACCAAAAGGAAATTAATCAGAAAAGACAAAGAAGGAGCCGGGCATGGTGGCTCACACCTGTAATCCCAGTGGCCCAGGCTGAGACAGGAGGATTGCAAGTTCAAAGCCAGCCTCAGCAATGGTGAGGCACTAAGCAACATAGTGAGACCCTGTCTCTAAATAAAATACAAAATGGGGCTGGGATGGTCAAGTGCCCCTGAGTTTCAAAAAAAAAAAAAAAAAAAAAGAAAGAAAGAAAGACAAAGAATGGCACTACATTCTGGATGTAAGGAGCAATCCAACAAGAAATAATAATAGCAAACATTTATGCCCCAAATGTTAGCACACCCAAGTGTGTGTGTGTGTGTGTGTGTGTGTGTGTGTATTAAATACAACGTTAAATCCAGATAGACCCCAGCAAAATAATATTGGGCAATTTAAACAAACCTTATCATCAATAGATAGGTCCTCAAAACATAAAATCAATAAAGATATCTCCAACCTAAATAACACTATAAATCAAATGGACCTTACAGACATCTACTGAGTATTTGACCCCCCCAAACATCTGAATTTACCTTCTCCTCAGGAGTTCATGGAACTTTTTCCAAAATATACCATATTCTAGGTCAAAAGTAAATCTTAGCAAATAAAAAAGCTGATATGATTCCATGCATCCTATCTGATCATAATGAAATAAAACCATAAATCAACAGCAAGAAAAATAATAGAACCCACATAAATACATAAAGGTCGAACAATATTTTCTTAAATGAAGACTGGATCAAAGAAGAAATAAGAATAGAAATCAAGAAATTTTTAGAAATGAATGAGAACAGAAATACAACATATCAAAACCTCTGGGACAGAACACCAGACAGAATGAAGGGATGCAACAGAGACAGACCAACATGAGCTTGCCTGCAAGAAGAAGATGAAAAGGCAGAATGATTCAGTTAAGAGAAAGCATCAAGATGATGGGCTTTTGGCTGCCACCTACAAGCAGGGGAACTTGGAGATCATGCAGCAGAAACAGAAAAAGGCAAAGAAGAAGAAGGAACCCAAGTAGCTTTGTGGCTTTGTGTCCAACTCTCTTCCCTTTGCTTGTGTAGCTGGAGTCAGTCCCACCATGCTCACATTTCCTTCTATAGTGCTCACAGACCCCAGCACTGATGGCATTCCCTTTGCTCTGAGTCTGCAGAGGGTCCCTTTTGTGCTTCTTTACCCTCAGGTAGCCTTTCTCCCTCTGGGCCACTCCTGGGGTTGAGGAGGTTACCCCTTCCCAGTGTTTTTTATTTCTGTGGGGTACAACCCAAAGTATTAAAAGTACCTTGTCATTAAAATATATGTGTATGGGGCTGGGATGTGGCTCAAGCGGTAGCGCGCTCGCCTGGCATGTGTGGGGCTCTGGGTTTGATCCTCAGCACTACATAAAAATAAAAAAATAAAGATGTTGTGTCCGCCGAGAACTAAAAAATAAATAAATAAAAATATATGTGTATGTGTGTATGTACGTATATATATCTATATCTATATATATATATATATATATATATATATATATATATAATACTGGGCAATTTATGAAAAGAGTTCTAAGAGGAAAATTTACAGCACTGAGTGCCTACATTAAAAAAAAAAAATAGATCCCAAATAAATAAGCTTATGCTCCACCTGAAGGCCTTAGAAAAAGAGGAACAAAATAATTCCAAAATCAGTAGAAGACAGAAAATAATTAAGAACAGAGCCAAAATTAGTAAAATTGAAAATTTAAAAAAAAAAAAATTCAGAATCAATGCTATGAAGAGTTGGTTCTTCAAAAAGATAAATAAGATTGATAAACCCTTAGCCAAACTAACCAAAAGAAAGATGACCCAAATCAATAAAATTAGAGATGAAAAAGGAGAGATCACCATAGACCGTTCTGAAATCCAGAGGATCATCAGAACCTATTTTGAAAATTGATACTCCAAAACAATGAAAAATCTGGAAGACATTGGCAAATTTCTAGACATATGTGACCTACCCATATTGAATCAGGAAGATATAGAGAACCTGAACAGACCAATATCAAGTAACAAAACTGAAAAAGGAATTAAAAGCCTTCCACAAAAGGAAAACCCAGGATCAGACAGATTCTCATATGAGTTCTACCAAACTGTTAAAGAAGAACTAACAAATTCTCAAATTATTCCATAAAATTGAATTGGAGGGAACACTCCCAAATACATGAAGCTGGGATAATCCTGATACCAAAACAATACAAAGATGTCTCAAGGAAAGAAAACTGCAGTATCCCTGATGAACATAAGTGCAAAAATCCTTAGTAAAATATTAGCCAACTACATTCAGAAACACATCAAGAAGATGATACACCATAATCAAATGGGTTTTATTCCACGGGTACAAGTTTGGTTCAGCATACACAAATCAATAAATGTAATTCAGCAATTAAACAATTAAGGACAAGAATCACATGATCATCTCAATAGATGCAGAAAAGGCTCTCAATAAAATCCAGCACCCATTCGTTTTGAAAATAGTGGAGAAGCTAGGAATAGAAGGAACTTATCTCAAAATCATAAAAGCTATTTATGTCTGGACCTAACAGACATTTACAGAGTATTTATGACAAACCCAAAGTTAACATCACACTGAATGGAGAAAACTAAAAATTTCCATGAAAGTCAGGAACAAAACAAAACTATTCACTCTCACCACTCCTATTCAATATAGTCCTTGAAATATTAGCCAGAACAATTAGGGAAGAGAAGGAAATAAAAGGAATTCAGATAGGAAAAGAAGTGGAGCTATCTCTGTTTGCTAATGACATGATCTTATATCTAGAAAAAACAAAAAACTCTACCACAAGACCTCTAGAGATTATAAATGAGTTTAGCAAAGTAGCAGGATATAGATCAATCCCCATAAATCAATAGCTTTCCTAATATTCTGACAGGGATTCAGCCAAGGAAGAAATCAGGAAAACTCTCCTAATCACAATAACCTAAAAAAAAAAGAAAGGAAGGAAGAAAGAAAGAAAAGAAAAAGTTGGGAATTAATCTAAGAAAGAAAGAGAGAGAGAAAGAAAGAAAGAAAAGAAAAGAAAAAGTTGGGAATTAATCTAACCAAGAAGCTCTATAATAAAAAGTATAGAACATTGTGGGGAGCATGGATGGATTAGACAAACTCTAGATAGAGCAAAGGGAGGGAGGGGAAGAGAGAGGGCATGGGGCTAGGAAAGATAGTGGAATGAGATGGACATCATTACCCTAAGTACATGTATGAAGACATGAATGGTGTGAATATACTTTGCGTACAATCAGAGATATGAAAAATTGTGCTCTATATGTATAATATGAATTATAATGCATTTTGCTGTCATACATAACAAATTAGAATAAAAAAATTATAGAACACTGAAAAAATTGAAGAAGACCTTAGAGATCAAAAGACATCCCATGTTCTTGGATAGGCAGAATTAATAGTGTCAAAAAGGCCATACTACAAAAAGCAATATACAGATTCAATGCAATCCCCATGAAAATATCAATGATACTCTTTACTGAACTAGAAAAAACAATTCTTAAATTCATTTGGAAGTAGAGAAACTAAATAGCCAATGCAATACTAAGAAAGAAAAACAAAGCAGAAGACATCACAATACCTGAGCTGAAAGTATACTATAGAACTGTAGTAACAAAAACGGCATGGGCTGGGTGCAGTGGTGCACAATTGTAATCCCAGCTGCTCTGAAGGCTGAGGCAGGAGGACCATGAGTTCAAAGCCAGCCTCAGCAATGGTGAGGTGCTAAGCAACTCAGTGAGACCCTGTCTCTAAATAAATTATACAAAATTGGGCTGGGTATGTGGCTCAGTAGTTAAGTGCCCCTGAGTTCAATCCCTGTACACCACCCACCCAAAGGAAAACAGCATTAGCATCAAAATAGACATGAAGACCAATGGAACAATATAGAAGAAAGAGAGACAAACCCTCATACTTACAGCCATCTGATACTTGAAAAAGGTGCCAAAAATATATTTTGGAGAAAAGAAAGCCATTTTAACAAATGGCACTGAGAAAACTGGATAGCTAAATGTAGAAAAAAGGAAACTAGATCCTTATCTCTCACCCTGTACAAAACTCAAATCAAAATGGATCAAAGACCTAGGAATTAAACCAGAAACATTGAAACTGCTAGAAGAAAATATAAGGTCAACACTCCATCATGTTGCTGGTACTGACTTCCTTAACAATACCTGTAAAGTGTAGGAAATAAAACCAAGAATCAATAAGAGGGATGCCATCAAACTAAAAAGTTTGTGTACAGCAAAGGAAACAGTTAAGAACATGAAGAGAGAGCCTACAGAATGGGAGAAAATATTTGCCTTCTACTTCAATAGGGAGTTAATATCCAGAATATATAAAGAACTAAAAAAACTTAAGACACACACACACACCAAATAACCCAATCAATAAATGGGCAAAAAAAAATTAAACAGACGTTTCTCAAAAGAAGAAATACAAATGACCAACAAATATATGAAAAAAAAAATGTTCAACATTTCTAGCAGTCAGGGAAATACAAATCAAAACTACACTAAGATTTCTACTTTTTTTTTTAAGTTGTAGATGGACACTACCTTTATTATTTTTTTTTAATGTGGTGCTAAAGATTGAACCCAGTGCCTCACATGTGCTAGGCAATCACTCTACCACTGAGCCACAACCCCAGCCCCCAAGCTTTCTATTTTACTCCATTTAGAATGGCAATGACAGAGAATACAAACAATAATAAATACTGGCAAGGATGTGGCGGCAAAAGTACACTTATACATTGCTAGTGGGAATGCAGACGAGTACAACCACACTGGAAAGCAGCGTGGAGTTTCCTCCAAAAAGGAGGGATGGATCTACCGATTGACCTAGCTATCCCACTCCTGGATATTTTCCCAAGAGAACAAAAATCGGTATACTACAGCAATACAGCCACCTCAATATTTATAGTAGCACAGTTCACAATAGTTGAATTATAGAATCAACCCAGATGCCCATCAACAGATGAATTGGTTAAGAAATAGTGATATATGCACACAATGGAGTTCTGTTCAGCCATAAGCAAGAACAAAATTATGGCATTTGCTGGTAAATGAATGGAAATGGAGAAAATCATGCTAAGTGAAATAAGCCAAACTTAGAAACTCAAAAGTCAAATGTTTTCACTTATATGTAGAAGCTAGATAAAAATAAAGGAAAGGAGAGGGCAAGATAGTACATTATAAAGATAAAGGGAAGATATGTAGTGTAAAATAAGCATGAGGCAAAGTAGAGCTGGACATGGAGGCACATGCCTGTAATCCCAGCGGCTACAGAGGCTGAGGCAGGGGAATAGTGAATTCAAAGCCAGGCTCAGCAACTTTGCAAGACCCTAAGCAACTCAGCAAGATGCTGTCACTAAATATAAATGTAAAAAAGGATTGGGGATGTGGCTCAGTGTCAGTGGTCAATCTTCAGCAACTGACCCCCTCCCCCAGCAAAAAAAAAAAAGGAAAGAAAGGAATTAAAACAAGGTCCACACAGAAGAAACTTGCTTTTGGCTAGGGTGAATGAATATACTTGTTTTTCACAGGGAACAAGGAAGAGGCAAGTTGAGTAGCAAGAGCAAAGAAAGTATGGGAGAAAATAAATAATGAGTTGACCAAGGTCTACAGGCCAGGTGCAGTAAATGAAGCATTCTCCTACCAAACCTTGAGTCTAAGCTGAAGTTTGGGACGGACCTGGTTTTGCCAATATAATGTGTAGGAAGTGATGTGATCTGAGCTCCAAAGCCCAGACTCAAAAGGCCTTGCACTCTCACGTATTGCTTTTTTGAAAGAAGGCATAAATATATATATATTAGTTGTAGTTTGACAGAATACTTTTATTTTATTTATTTATTTTTATGTGGTGTTGAGGATTGAACCCAGGACCTCGCACATGCTAGGCAAGAGCTCTACTGCTGAGCCCTTGAAAGAAGGCCTTTTAAAGAAAGAAGTTACTTATAAAGGAATTCCTTATGAAGGACAATCC